TCCTTTCCTTCAGAAATATTTTACCTAAGTGTATCTTTTAAATCCTCACCAAACCCATTAAAATATGTATGTATACATGCATCTCTCCATTAATTACAGCAATAATCCATTCCAATGATTCTGAAAGGCTGCAGAATACTAATCAATCCAGGGAAAGATGTCCTTTATGAGTTCATAGGAGAAAATGAACACCTAGAAACACAAACATTCACTCTATGCCAGGAAGACATCCTGTTCTAGGCAGTGGCTGTGGTGAGGTTAGAGAAGGGAAACTCGTATGTGTTCACTCATTGCCTGGTTGCCTTCGGTCAGCCTTGCTTCACTTTTATTTGCAGAAATACTGTTGTCTTAATTTAGGCACAAGGAAAGATAAAAATGTGGCATCATTTTAGATTACAAAGTTAAAGAATGTTTGCTTGGGGTTGAGAGTGGAGGGTGGATGTACCATGTGACCCAAAGTAGCATTGCTTGCTTTTTAGGCCAGAATCAGAATCCTACTCTTCTTTGTTTTTGTTTTGTTTTTTTTTTCTTTTGGAGACTGGGTCTTGCTATGTATTTCAGTCTGGCCTTGAACTATGCAATCCAAGCTGGCCTCAAATTCATGTTGATCCTCCTGCCTCAGCTTCCCAAGTGCTGAGATTCCAGGCATGTACCACTACACCTGGCATCATCACTAACTCTTAAAGTAGGCGGAGGTGGGGGGGTGTTTTGCCCCTCACAAGGGGAGCACTATTCTCTCTAAACAGTTTGTGGGCTGTGCCCGTTGTAAGCCTGAGGCCCTCCCTCCACTCACTGCTGTAAGGAGAAGCTGAGGCTTGGTCCTCCAAGGCGTAGTCAACGCTGTCCTCACAGCCCAGCCGAGTCCAGAGTGCCCGACAAAGACACATACTGGGGATGGTACAACACCCTGACCACACCCAGGCCTCTGCACTGCCGGGCTGAGTGCAGTGTGGTAAAACGGAGTTCATGCTTGCAACGCATGATAATTACCTTTGTCCCAAGGACCTGGCACATACACACTTCACACTTTGATTGTGTTTACTTCCCCTTCCCCTCCTGCCCTCCCGTCTTTCCGTTTCCAGACCCTCCTCCACCTTCACAGACTCTAACCTCCCAGCTTCCTGACTCCTCTCTTTTATTTCGCTCTTCAAAGCATTTGTATTCTGGGTTTCTCATATAACAGAAACCATGCTGTATTAAATCTTCTGTGTCAGATTAATTTCATTCAGTATTTTGGTCTCAAGGTGCATCCGTTGTTCTATCCTTCATGGCTGAGTAGTCCTCATTGTGGGAATAGACCACACTTATTCATGCACGTATTCATGGCCCTACAGAGCACTTCCAGGATAGAGCCATTTTGAGTCGTGCTGCTGTAAACACGGACATGCATACATCACTGTAATATGACGTCTTTAAATCTTGCAGGAAGATTCCAGAGGGGAAGAGCTGAACTGAATGGAATTTCTGGTTTAGTTTTGAGGAATCTTCATACTGATTTCCACAGTGGTTGTACTAGTTTACTTTCCCACCAACAATGTAGAAGGGGTTCTTTTTCCCCACCGCCTCTCCAGCATGCATTATTATTCTTCTTTAAATTTCTTGTTGATAACCATTCTTTCTTCTCTCAGCAGTGTCTTCTTCCTGCTTTTCTCCTCTAAAAATGCCCAAACTCTTCTTTTGTGACTCCCTGCCTCCCTTTGTCTTGGCCGTTCCTTGACTCTGACAGTGGTCACAGTAATGACGGCAACAGACCTGAGCATTTACTATGTTAACAAATACTCAGTATTTTTTTTAAACTTCAGCAATAACTTACTCACGATACCACTTGTAGGGAAGAGGAAAATGAGTCTTGAAGGTGGTGGTTAGTCCTTCCCCAAGGTCACAGCTAGGGAGTGGTGGCCTAGGGCTCAGATCTCAGTTGCTTTTACTCCAGAGCCCAAATGTCACTCATGTTGCCTCTGGCACAGCCTGGGCAAGTAGCTGGGGTCAGGTCACCTTGCTACTGACAGGGGCCGTGTGAGTCTCCCCAGGGCCTAGAACAGAGACAGCACAAACTGAGCACCCAGGAGAAGTTTATGGAACGCATGAAGAAGCTAGGAAGTCTTGACAGAGCCCTCCCACCTGGGCCAGACCTTCTAGGGGTGGGCCCTTGTCTGTCCCTGGAGAAACAGCAGCAGTCGGCTCCGCCCCAGAAGTGATGGGTCGCCTTGCCTCCCGCACATGCGCAGAGCTACGCTCTGGCGGTCGGTCTCCCAATTCTAGGAAGGTGGCCAAGTGAGGGAAGCCATCGCCTTCTAGCAAGCAACACCGGGCTGGCCAAAGGCTTTTGCAAAGCCCCGTTTCCCCCATAACCTTTTATTTCCCTCTCCCTCTTTGCGTGCAAAGCCAGCTGATATTTCTTTTTAAGCAGCTGAGAACACCAGATGGAAGGGTAGGGGGAGGTGGAGGCAGGCTGAAAGGCAGGGAGGGGACAAGCAAGGCTGTGGGTGAGGGGGACCGTTCTGGAACACGGATGTCGGGAGGATTCCAGACAGGTCAGCAGAGGTAGGAAAAGAAAGAAGGGCTGGAAACGTGAGCGGCCACCATATGTGCACACGCTCATACACGCAGTGCTTGCAACATACCATTAAAATAGAGGGAGAAACGTTCTGGTTTCCCTAGCAACAAGGCCTATTGGTGCCTCAGCCAGAGAAACTTATTGGGGGGGGGAAGACGTTTGCCTGTTAAGGAGCCTGATGAATCGGAAGATAATTATACAGCGTTCTGCCATCGCTAAGGACACAAATACGCTCCAGAAAATATTTTAAAGAGCACAGATTGCCACAAATCCCACGAAGGCAGGGGTGGGGTCGAGAGACAGCAGGCAGGGAAAAAAGACTACTGGAGTGAGTCTAGGTGAACACCCAGAGGGGCCGGCAAGTGTGAGGGACTGACCGGAACTGGGGGCTATGCCGGTCACGTGACGTCTACTGCAAGACAAAGCTGGACATACTCGTTCTCAATTCTCAGGGCCCGCACATGGAGTCCTTTAAGAAGTAAGTGGGTGGATCAGGAGACGCTAGACAGATTCTGTGGGACAGAGTGCTCATCTGACTGGTGGGCTCGCTTCTGTAAGGGACTGAGCCCTGTGAATCCCAGGGGTTCCCACAGACGGAGTGGGACAAAAGAGGAGGTGCTTCAAAATTGAGTAGTGTATTGTTGAGTCTTGCTTAGGGCAGAAAGAAAGGAAGGACATAATTATTTTGCACTCATAGCATAGGACGTGGTTGTGGGTACACGACAATTGCTAAGTAAAATACTGATCGAAGGGAAGGCTGAATCGACCCATGGATGGGCATTTGATGATGTCCGTGGAATGAGGAATGAGTGGATAAAATATCATGAATAACCCGGCCCCATCTTCTTTCCTCTTGCTTACCCCTGGGAACTTAGTTGCAGCTCAGTTGAAGACCGGCACTGGGCAGCCAGTGGTCTTTGGATGGGGTCACTCCCTGACTCCCCGAGAAAAACTACAGAGGGCGCAGTGTGTCTTTGAGGAGAGGGGTCTTTGTCTCTTGGATGGTGTACGTGTGATGTACCCTTCTCTGTTAGAGGGCAGCACCTTGAACTCTTGGGGCTCAAGTGAACCCCAACTTTGGTCTGACTCAGGTTTCCACCCTCTGACATCCTACACTGCCTGGGAAGCCCCTCGGCTGGCTCTTGGGGACATCATCTATAATCATGACGTACTGTCCCTTACTTAGCTTTCCCCAGGTGGATGTCTTCAGCTGCAGCTCACTCCTTAGGAGTGGGGGTCTCCCGGAGGACCTTCCCATCCAGGATCCGCCAGCGGAGAGCCACATGTGGGTCGAAGTGTGGGATATTTCCAGTGCCAACACCAAGGTGCAGGGCATGGATCTGCAGCCTTTAGGAGCTGAAGGGAGGCATCAGGCTAGAATCAGCTCTAAGCCCTGTGGCCTTGCACACCATTTTGTGGGTGCTACCTGGGGGGGTGTATGGGGTCAGGCATGGGCTTGAGGGCTGTGTGTACAGAGGGAAGAAGGGGCAGCAGTAGGAAAGGGAAGGAAGACTCGTCTTCCTGCTACTCATAAGCAAGCACTTGTCCCGCCTTTGGCTTGAACCTCTCTCTCATAGTCATGGCCCCCAAAGATCATGCCAGAGATGGAAATGCAGATCCATTGCTGGACAGCTTCTCTGTTCTGAAGGTAGACAGGAAACAACAGCTTTTTCTTCTTTTTTAAAAATTGCATTTAATTTTATAATTTATACTTACAAAAATATAGGGTTAAAATTATTTTACTAGTATACGTGTGTAATACAAAATGTTTACAGTCTTTGTGGGCAGTGGGTACAAGGACATTACAAATCTTAATTCTTTTTTTCATCCCCTTTCCCTTACATTGTTTCCCGGAAAAGGCAAAAGGTTCAGAGAGGTTGAGCATGGTACTCGAGGTCACACAGCAGGAATGTGCTGGCTTTACAGTCTCTTTCCAACAAACAGGCTTTCAACTCTCATATTACAGTGTCTCTTGGGAGGCACCAAAGGCAGTGGAAACGGTCGAATCATGTTTTATTTCCCTAAATGGATGCTTTTTCCAGAACACATGAAAGAGGAAATGGGATCAGAGCAGGGAAAAACTTCTAAGTCATATTTTGTGCACGCATCGTATTGAACAGATTCCATACCAACTATAGACAAATTTTCACATCTCCACCTTCCCCCTCCGATTACCTCCATCGGCCTCCACCATCTCCGACAGACTGTTCCCTTCCTCCCTGCGGATGCTGTAGGAAGCGAGACTCGCTTCGCTGCGCTGTGCGCCGCACCCTCCGGGGCGG